AATTAGAGCCTTTATTTGTACACATATAATGTAAGAAATTGTAAACATTAGCTCATCGAGGTTTGGCAAAAATAATAATAAATAAACAATAAAATCGAAATGTATGAAAATTAAGTGTCATACAAATTTATAGTGGTTCACTTTCAATACAAGAGAATACAAAATTTGCACCTACCTTGTCATGCTCGGTGAAGTAGTTGTTAGAGATAGTCACACCATTTGATGCATGGATCACATCAAGGAGACCATCAGTGCACCGAGCAAGATAGCAATGATCGATCCATACATTCGTTGATGCAAAAACGGTTATACCATCTCCATCGCTTCCAACTCTGTGACCTACATGATCTGGTGTGCTCCGGACCATGCCCGGCTTCCCTGGCTTGCAATCATGTACACTAATCCCATGGACGATCACATGGCTCGCACCTTCAATGGTGATACATGGTCCATTTGCAATCTCAACCCTAGCACCCCTTCCATCTATAGTCTTGTAACTATTCACCATAAGCTCGTTCTTGAGTACAAGACTCATGTCCCTTTGGAAAATGATCCATAGAGGCTTCGTCTGGATTGCTCCATATCGGAGTGTGCCCGGTTTGGGATTAATAGGGTCGTCAAATGGATCAGTAACAATGTAAATCGCACCATTTTTACCTCCCATTGCACCGCTTCCGAACCCTATGGAGCAATCCGCTAACGCTTGCCGGTTAGAAGCCCAATTAGGGTTTGATCTCCAACATGAGTCTATTTTGTTCATTAATTTGTTACTAGGTCTAGGGTATCTTGGAATGTAAATAGGCAGGGTTTTGTTTCGTGTTTGCTTTAAAGGGTGAGCAAAAGAGATTGAGAGGCAATAAACAAGAAGAACCGAAAGAAGAAGAAGAAGAGAATTTGGACTTGCCATAGCTAAGGTCCTTTTTGGGGGAATTAAGGAAGAAAATGAAATATAAATACTGGGTAAATACTAGGCGGTGGTAGCCATGTTGGGATTGCATATCCTTTTCAGTTTGCTGTTTGTTGAGATTTTAGAGCTTCATTTGAACGTGTGAGCACGAGCCATAAAGATTCGTTCAGTAAGTAAATTAATTAGTAGTAGTGTTTATGTATGATTAATCACTTATTTATGTTAAGAAAAATTATAATCCGACACTTGCCATGTTTTCAATTTCTCATTTGATTAATCACTGATAGCTTTTTTCTGGAAAAAACTGACTTGACACATAATTTTTTAATAGATAATGACGATAAAATTTGAATTCAGAATATTTCCTATGATAAATTTTGGAGTCTATAAACTTCAACTAGATGGAAAAAAATAAATAAATAAATAAATAAATAAATATATATATATATATATATATATATATATA